TCGGGCCCATGGATTTGTGTACCTTTAGCTTTTCTAAATAGTTTCTAACCTGTTCTTTACCCACTAAGGGCTGTCCATTTTCATCCCATCTTGCGTCACTTAGTGCATTAATTTGGGAGCCGACCTTGTCCGTGAATACAGAGACAAAGAAAGCATTGAGTACTTCAGCTTTCCCCACATCATCTGTCACTAGGTTACCTCCTTCATCCAGTAAGGGCCCCACACCCTCTCTGATCACCTTCTTCTTGTTAACATGCCTGTAGAAACATTTCTTGTTATCCTTCACATCCTTTTCCAGTCGCAATTCCAAATGAGCTTTCACCTTCCTGATAACCCCACGGCATTCTCGAGCTATACATTTATACCCCTCCCTGGTCATTTGTCCAAGTTTCCACTTTTTTGTAAGTTTCCTTTTTGTGCTTAAGTTCACCAAGGATTTCCCCAGTCTCCTACCATGTTTGCCTCTCTTGCTACGCGTCGGGATGGTTTCTTTCTGTGCCTTCAATAAGGCTTCTTTAAAATATTGCCAGCTGTCCTGGACTCCTTTCCCCTTCACGTTAGCATCTCAGGGGATTCTGCCCATTAGGTCTCTGAGGGAGTCAAGACTCCTCCATCTTGTCTTCACTCCTGCACTTCACTCTAGAACCACACTGGTAAGGACAGAGGGCCCAGAAAGATTCGTGGAGCTATCCTGATATAGGCTATACACCAGAGACTTTTAAGCTTGCAGTTTGTTACATCTCCGCTAAGAGCCTGTGTCAAGAACTTAGTGACTGATGTGTGTAATGTATTCTCTTTAACAATCTCACTCTCAACCTTTTCTTTCTTTTATTAATAAGCCTTTAGATTTTAGTTTCTAAAGGACTGGCTCAGCATGCTCTTTTAGGTAAGATCCGAGGTATAAATTGACCTGGGATGGTGACTGGTCCTTTGGGATTGGGAGAACCTGTTCAGAGTTGGTGAGATTGGGTTTTATAACTTCTCACCTGTGTCAGAGATAGCGCTGGCTGTGCCACAGGGAACACTGGGGTATCTAAGGGGTTTTGCTTGTGAGACTTCTTGCTGGCTAGGATGGCAGCTGAAGTGGTCTGTGTAACTGTTTTGGTGCCTTATAGGGAAGAACTCCAGTCTTAGGGTATCAGTAGCCCTGGTTTTAAGCAATTCACCCTGGTCCGACACTTCCTGCAGTGCCCATACCCAACCTGGCATATTACACAACCCTTTGCAATTATAGGTTAAAAGTCGCTTTGCCTTTCTGAACGGAAGAGATCGTTGCAGGTTGAAAAGCGAGCAGCCACTTTATGGGCCATACATTTATTGTGATGGATGAGCCACCTACCAGAAAAAATCTTGAGTTGGTAATAGCACGCTGCACAGCTCTGCTAAATAGGTCATTCAACATGCCAGGTCTCTGGATATTACTGGGGAGTGAGAAAACATTATTTCTCCACTTCAATGTGCCTGTCTTTTTTCTTGTCATGTGGAACTAACCTTTCATGCTTAGTACTATTACTAATTTATTAGCCTTTTAAATGCCTAAATTGCTGTACTGTCTGTGGACTACATCTTAATGCTTGCTGAAGCAAAGAGTGCTCTGGAAATGTGAGTGTGTAAAGCAATAAACCAGATGGGAGAACAGTTCTCTGTACCTCTGCGTTTGCTACAGTGAGAACAAACAATCATTTTCTGAAGCAGAGAAGAGCCAGTGGTATATGACTGTTACAATTAAACAGTGACTCTTGAAAGTGATGATTAAATAAAAAAGGTGCTTAGTGCATTTCTATTAAAATCAGTTAAAAGAGAAAGCAATTTTCTTGCCATTCAGTTTAAATGACTACAGCACAAATTGCTGTTGTACAGTGCAATTCCGTAAGTCCGGTCTGTTGCAACCTGATTGACTATTTCTGCCAATGTGATGGGACTATTTCTTGAATAGTTAGGGTCTTATTTTCTAAGGGCATGACCACACTACCCGATGGATTGACGGGAAGTGATTGATCCAGCAGGGGTCGATTTATCGTGTCTAGTACAGACATGATAAACTGACCTCCGATTTCTCTCCCATCGACTCCGATACTTCACCATAATGAGAAGTGCTGGTGGAGTTGATGGGAGAGTGTCAGCTATCAACTTTCCACAGTGAAGACACTGCAGTAAGTAAATCAAAATATGTTGACTTCAGCTACCTTATTCACATAGCTGAAGATATGTAACTTAGATTGATGGCCTATAGTAGTGTAGACTAGGCCTAAGAAATGAACCTGTAATTTAGCAGTTTTACCTCTACAATAGAACACAATGAGAAGCATAAAAATCTTCTACCAGCGAAGCTTGATCAAATGCCCACTGAAGTCACTTAATTAAAAACATGTTGGATCGGGGTATAATACCTAAGAGCATAAAAATCTAGTTAGTGCCTAGGAATGAAGCACAGGAAATCCCTACATCAGACTGAGTGTCTCAGCACTGCTCAAACCTAGTTCCTGAGTGTTGAGCAGCTAGCGACAGATATCATGCATGATCTGTTCTTCACAAACTTTTACTGCCAATCCGTTTGTATTTACTGGTGTCCCATGAACCCAAGAGAGATTTCTCCTGTACTGTGAAAGCCAATCTACATATCTTTCTTTATAAGCTTCATTAGGAAATTCAGCTCCTCTTTGCTTTTTCCCATTGCAAGAAAATCTTCAGGGCACAAATCTTCCCTTTCGACACTTAGTCCAAATACCAGGCTGTGTCCTGGGTAACTCCGCCAGTGAAAAGAATTCTCCCACCTTTACCATTGCTGGGTCCAGTGGGTACATAGGCATTCCACTTCCATTATTACAGCCCTGAATAGTAACCACTGTGGCTGTAACACAGAGGATCCATGTCTAAGTTATCCAGGTGGCCACACTTTTGGCCTTCCCCAGACTGCATCTCCTGGTCCCTAGGGATGAGCATGCAGGGAGCTTGGTTCTGCATTGCACTATGTGAATAGCAGAATTACAATCCACTGTTTTGTCAGCCAAACATCCATATTGCTTTTGGTAATGCACAGTTCTGGCATTGCTCCAGAGAAGAAGTGTCGTCTCAGTAAGCTAGTTTAAGCTAGGGATGTCAGCAAGTAGTCGAGTACTCGATTACCCAATAAGCCTATGCTTATTAGGTAGTCGAGTTGAGTACTTAACTACTTGCTGTATCAGAGGCAGCAAGAGGAGGGAGGAAACAGGAGCTGGTGCTGGGAAGAGTCAGCTTAAAGGAGGCAGTGGGAGGCTGCCGCAAAGCAGCCTCTGGCTGGGGGGGGTCACGGTGGGGAAATGCTCCCCCCTCCCCCTGTGGACAGGAGCTGCTCTTTGTCCACGGCCAAACCGGGCTGCCACAAACAGGGACTGCTGGACCAGGTGTGAGCCGCAATTGAACAATCCTGGCTCATGCTGGACCAGGACCTCTGCGACTCTGCAATTTAAATGTAGTAAGAGCCAGGCAGGTGCACAGGCAGCCCGGATCTTACTAGCTTTAAACCTCAGAGCCGCAGCAGAGGTAGCTCCTGGACCAGTGCAAGCCAGCACAGAGCACCTTTCCTTATCGACTAATCATTTAGTTGATACAAATTGTATTGACTACATGATTAGTCAATTCCCTGCCTCTAAAGAGCCTTAGTTTAAGCAAAAAGCAAAATGTAGGTTTCAACACGGCATGAATTGTATTAGCTTGTCCCCTGAAAATGCCTTCTAGCATTTCTTCTCTGGTCCCAGAACCATCCTGGTTCCGCCCAGGTTCTAGAGCGGAGTTTTCAGCTCTGTACTTGCTATTCATGGCACATTGCAGGTACCAAGGTGAGAATTACAAAAAGATGGTAAGATGACAATCTTGAACCTAAACTGGATTTTTACTGGGCTTTCTCTCTCAGATTGGGTGGCATCTGTAGGCCCATTCTATCCTCTCCCAACTTTTCCCCAGGTGAGTCACTTCCACTACATCTTGTACTTTGCTGACTGCCTTAACAGCACTAGAGAGCCCTAATTCTCTCTGTGCAGCATCTTGTACAAGCTATTGTTGCCAGAATGATACTAGGCCCAATAAGCCACCAGTCTGTTCTGGCTGGGCAATTCCTATTTTACTATAAGCATTGAGTTCTCTTTTTTCCTAAGGCTCAATTGTCTTTAAAACATCACGGCAGTCTTTCAGTAACTTCAGATGAGATGCCTTAGGTGCAGCTACAGAAAAAAATCCATTTCAGCTGTAAAACCATTTCAGTTAATGCTTCATAATCTATAAATCACTGTTATTAGATTTCTCTATGCAAATCAAATGTGTATGAGCCTCATCAATCTTTAGAAATATCTCCATAACGATTAAATTTTTGCAGTTGCAATGTGAATTAAAGGATCTGTTAACTTATTTTCCAGCTACATCTTTATATCTAATTCATTTTCAGATGGAGTGTTCTTTGAAGTGACTAATGAATAGTGAGTTTTATTGATTGATTATAAAATGAGCAGGCGGGTTTAAAAGAAAAAAAAGAGCTGTGAACATAAAATCACTGTCAAGCTTTATTAACCTTCCCCCTATTAAAATTCTAAACTGAGTAAGAAAGAGGCGCAGATATTAACATACTGCTTTTGTTGAGTACAATTTATTTATTTCACATCTATAAATTCCTCTTAGTTGGTCCATGTCCCATCAGCCTGGCCTCTGACCTAGATCTTAGTACATTGGGGAATGAACTTCACCTTGGAAATCTTTGAAGAAGTAATCATTTGGCTTCCATTGGACCGTAAAACACAGCCTTATATATTGTGCAAAGGAACAGATACTCTGTGCTCCAAATCTACAGGTAGCTTTTACCAAGCCACCATTAAGGAACAGCCACAGCTTTTATTGCAAATTTAATTAATCTGCACTGGCCTGATAATATCATGACTAAATTTGGGATTGCTATTTGGCACATGGACTATGTGGGGGGTTCTCAATCACTTTCCCCCTAGGAATGGTAAAAATTAGACCAAGCGCCTTACCCGTTTCCTCAGATTGCAGGTGAGTGTCAGATTCCTCGAGAAGGAGTTTGCAAAAGCTGTATAGAAGTCCAGAACTTTCAGCAAGGCTTCTCGTTTAATAATATGTAAATCGCAGTATGTCAATGCTCGGACATTGGCACACGCATGGGCCAAAGTGGTTTCCTTCCAGAAGATATCACCAAACACATCACCTTTGCCTGAAAAAGAGCAGGACATATTTATTAAACCATACACATACACTGCTCTTCAGCAAACCAATTATCTGCTCCCTCAAATTTTCTTCAGTTCCCAATTATTCTGAATTTAGCCCATATTTTAAAGGTATTCAGGCACTGCTCTGTCCAAATAAATTTAGGAGCCTAGGTCTCTTTGATTGAGACTTAGGGCACCATCTTCATTTGCCACAACAGGGATCAATGTTCTGGTATTCGATTTAGTGGGTCTAGCATAGACCCATAAATCGAATTCTGAGGGCAGCTTTGGCCAGTGTCTGCACTCCTTACAGTTGCAAGGAGTAAGGGAAGCCTATAGGAGCATTTACTTCATCGGCCTCCCACAGTGAGGACGGCACCAAGCTCAGCTTAAGATAAGAAGACTCCAGCTATGTATTCTATGTAGCTGAAGTTGCATACCTTAAACCAACCTTCAAGGTCTAGGGTAGACCTGGTATTAGGTTCCTAAGTGCCTAAGTCACTTTTGAAAATAAACCTTATTAATCTCCTTTTAAAAACTGGTTGGGAGGTGTTTGAAAATTTTACCCTTAAGCATATGTTAAAGTTATGCACACGCTTCAGTGCTTTGCTGAATCTGGGTCTTACTGAAGTATCTAACAATAAAAGCTGATCAAACTATTAATTGAGAATAATATTTGCTAAAAAAAATAACTTTTTGACTAGCAAATCATTCAAATATAGATCCTGATTTACATGAATTAACTTGCTGTTCATCTGCATTCACTAAATAGTTCTGACAAATAATTTTCTAACTATTTGTTGCCCGTAACTACTTGCATTAATTGGGCATCTGTTTCTATTCCCTAATTGAATAACATTTTATTTCTAATAGGAGACTAACAAATGGTAAATAATGTGTAATGAGCTTGTGTGGTATGTTTTCACCCATACAATCATCTGTTCTAAAATGTGTGAAATTTTAGAAATTTGTGAACATTCTCAAGAACTTCTAATGGTTATTCCAATGAAAATTTGACCCACAAGTAAACTGAATATCACACTTATATTTAGTAGAATTTGACAATATGATTAGCTGCTATTTGACCAGCTCAGTTAACAATTAGATTAACGGATTTTTCTAGATTAAATATTATAGGGTATGTCTACACTACCCCACTAGTTCGAACTAGCGGGGTAATGTAGGCATACCGCACTTGCAAATGAAGCCCGGGATTTGAATTTCCCGGGCTTCATTTGCATAAGCCGGCCGGCGCCATTTTCAAACGCCGGCTTGTTCGAACCCCGTGCCACGCGGCTACATGCGGCACGGGCTAGATAGTTCGAACTAGCAAGCCATTCCACACTATCTGTACACCTCGTTCCACGAGGTTTCGAACAAGCTGGCATTTAAAAATGGCGCCGGCCGGCTTATGCAAATGAAGCCCGGGAATTCAAATCCCGGGCTTCATTTGCAAGCATTTGAAAATGGCGCCGGCCGGCTTATGCAAATGAAGCCCGGGAAATTCAAATCCCGGGCTTCATTTGCAAGTGCGGTATGCCTACATTACCCCGCTAGTTCGAACTAGCGGGGTAGTGTAGACATACCCATATATATTACAGTATTATCCCAAAATGCAATCAGGATGAATCTCTTACTTGGATGGTCATTTTATATAGAGCTTGTTCCTGCCTTGAAGACTTTACAATTTAGATTAAGACAAAAGTAAATATCTGATTTTTTTCAGGTACTTTTTAACAGTTCTATAGAATCTATAACCATAGAGCTGGAAAAGACCTAAGAAGGTCATCAAGTCCAGCCCCCTGCTCTAGGCAGGACCAATCCCAACTAAATCAACCCTGCCAGGGCTTTGTCAAGCCGAGACTTAAACACCTCTAGGGATGGAGACTCCACTACTTCCCTAGGTAACCCATTCCAATGCTTCACCACCCTCCTAG